TACACACATATATACATACATATATACATATATATATATATATATTATATAATATATATATATATATATATTATATATATATACACATACATACACACACACACACACACACACACACACACACACAACACACACATACAACACACACACACACACACACACACATATATATATATATATATATATATATATATATATATATATATATATATATATATACGTATATGGATTTCGCTTTGTGATAAATATTCTATACTATATATCTTTCCTGTGTATCTAAATAGGATCCTAGGTAACTTATTTGGGTCATAATGAGAGTAGCATATTTCATAATTTGCCAACTTAATAACTGGTAATTCTACACAATCGACCGGTTTATTAAAATTGCGAGAGGTCCGACCTTATGCATATTCTTAAGTATGGATTTGGAGATAATTTTTTAACAATCCAATTTTTTTTACTGAAGACATCGATTAGCAGTTGGTTGGTGTGTATTATTTATGTTTGTATATAAAAAGCATACATTAATGGTTAGGAATTTCAATTAAATTTTAAATCAGGTACAAAAATAAATCACATCATATGAAACATATTGAAAAAAAATTATACTTTTTAAATCAAAAACAAGTTTGTTCTAATTTTTATGATTATCCGGTCAGTTGTCAGTTGAAATAATAATCTGTCACTGATGCTGATAATATTGATATATGAAGATATTAATGATGAGAATGATAATATACCATTGTTTTTACACACACACAAACACACATACACTGTATCATAATGAATCTTTGATTTAAATATATAAACGTGGATTAGCATACCTAGTTGAAATTATCAATTTTAGTATTGTGTATGTATGATTGTTGAGCCGAATGTCAAACAAAAGTTTGTTTACGTACAGAATGGTTTTCTCGTTTTTTATTTTCGGACGAATAGTTTTATTTGAGTTTTCAAGTGAATTTTAGGGTATATTTTATACACCGAATTACAAAAATAGTAAGAAGAATTAAAGACAGATTTACATATATATCTTTTTCTCACACTCTCGATAAACATCTCCTGAAGTATCACTTCCGAAGTTCCGGACGCGACGTGATGCAAATAAGGCGATACTGAAATTGTTCTCTCATTTTGTGTCTTTAATAATAGTAACAGTAATTTTATGTACTTAATTCTTCTTCCTCATGAACCGAAGAAGTGACGTAGAATAAGAGAACTGTGAAATATTGAATAAGCAGAAAGTATAAATACAAATAGAGCAAATGTCTTAAACAGGATTTATTTTCGTGAATGGGCAATGCAAGGTGAGATATCGTATAACTGCCTTTGTTGAATGTGATATGTATGATCAATCTCACTTCTTCACTCACTAGACTGACTCTCATCATGGACTTCTGACATCTGCATTGGCTTATTGAAAAGAGTACGGGCATCTCTGAAATTAGTTCACTAAATTTTAGTTCCTACTTATAGGTCCAGATGTATTGTAGTTTTTTTTCAGATGATAACAGCTTGTTATGGGTCGCGATGATTTGGTATCGATAGATTCCTCTTACATATAGAAGTTATTGCATTGAATCCCACTCCTCACCCATTATACTTCTATTTCAACCTGCATTTGCCCTGGTACTTTTTCATTCTCTCCTCCTTTGCTAATAGGGGCTAAGAATGTGGGGTTTAAGGGTTAATAATTTCTAGATGTTTGGATACTAGAGAGGAAGAATCCATCAATACCAAAATTGTCATGTCAGTGACAAATAGCTATCCTGAAAAAAAACATATTGCATTAATGTGCTGAGTAATTAGGTAATTCACAAGTTAAAAAGTTTAAAAGATGCCCCTATATAGGTTCACAGGATTTTCCACCCATCTGCACTTGGGTGATGTTCATATGTTATCCATCTGGATGAGCATATGCCTTTGTCGTGGAGGCTTCATTACAATGATATCATGATGCTGTGCGGCTGTCAGGCTGGATTTCTGATTGTAGGCCAGTCATTAAAGATTGCTAGAAAGCTAAGGGAGTTTGGATAGATACACCTGATGTGATTACACTTGGCTGTAATTGAGAGATATTTTTCACTTGAGAGGGATGCACACACTATTTCTTATGCTCTACAAGATGGCAGTATCCATTTCCCTATATCTCTGTGCATCCCTTCAGTTATATAAACCAATGTGAATCCAGTTGCAATGGTAAATCAGTCACATAGATAAATAACATTACACTAATGGATGTACTTTTTATATTTCTTTTATGTGGAAGGTCTACCATAATCACTGAAAATTTTTCAAGTAACTGTAACAGTCATGTGCCAGGTGATACCCCAATAAAGTGATATGCCTGACTAGACCCTGTAGAGAAGTAATAGTGCTACACCAGCTGATATATGTGTAGAACAAATACATGTAGCACATAAGTACATAAATCACCTTCATTTTCCATAAGATACATTGTCACTGAAACACAGTTCCTTTTTGTCTAAAGGATTCAATCTCAGAGACTTTAAAATGCATCAACCACAATAAAAATGTTAAAATGTGACATTTCACATCCCAATACACAGTAAAACTAAAATAGTAGTAATTGTTTAGCATTTCCTGTATCACTGTCGGTGCATTTCATTCCATCGTTGCACACATTACTGTGTTTGTGTCAATATTCAAAGACCCTGTACCTTAGTTTGTTACAATCTAGTCATATAATGTGGTTCCCCATTAAGATCATATCTATGTTTCAGCTTGTAGTAGGGTGGGGTCAGACCCAGTTCACCTTGGAGAGCAGTAACCAGAATATATCTGTTTACAACAAGGTAGGCTCTCAGTTCTTAAATATGCACCACATTCAGCTTCTCCCCAGACACTTATGTGCCTTATAATCTGCAGCCTAATGGTAAAAATTCTTATTATTTTGAAAATGAATTTTAAACTCAACAACATACAGTTGTATAAATGACCAGCTGATTACTTATGTTGCTACATTTTCAGAAGTCATAGTGTGGTTTATCTAACAAGGTCTTCTCCAAAGTGCTGTTTCAATCCATTATTTAAGATACCAGAATATTTTTCCAGCACAAGACGGTAGAGAAATATCTTTATTTCATGACAAGTTATTACATTAATTGTATTATCTTTGTGTTTTTTATTGAAGCACACAATTTATTTAAATGTCACACATTAGGAGAATTTTATTTTTCAACTGATATGATTGTTTCTGCAGGTCTGATTAGGAGACAATGCCTTCACAGGCTATCAAACCAACATCTTTGGGGATGACGGGAATGCGGAACAATGACACCTGGACTGATGGACTCCCAATCTGCAAATTGTCAGGTATTTTTAGTTTTTTAAATTTTTACCAGTTGAATAAGTATTTTACTTTGCCATACTATATATATATTTTATATATATATATATATATATATATATAATATATAATAATATTATATATATATATATATATATATATATAATATATTATATATATATATATATATATATATATTTTTTTTTTTTTTTTTTTTTTTTTTTTTTTTTTGTAATATCTAAGAAAATAGAATTTAGACTAAGGAATATATTGGTTAACAAATCTGTATTCTCAACAGGTGTGGGGATGTCAGCCAACCAGATGTACCGAGAAGATGGAACACCATGCTCGGAACATGAATATGAGGACCGCAGCATTCACTTTTGTCTTGACCGTGAAAATCACACTTACCTCTATGGGGTCTTTGATGGCCATGATGGAGCCAAGGCAGCGTACTTTGCAACCCAGGTTAGGTATTACATGTTTAGTTTAATAAAAGACTGGCCATTAACTTCTTTGTTTCTTAGATATTATAAATAACGTTAGAGTGGAAATCTTACTTTCAAAGGAAACTGGTAATTTACAGCTGTAGAATAGTTTGTGCATATCCTGTGATTTGAACCATCTTGGACATCTTCAGCAATTTGAAAATAAAGTTAATGTCACAGATCTATTACAGTAGAGGAAACATGCATTCAGGGGATCCTATCCTAAAAGAAATCGTACAACATAACATTTTGGTTACGTTTATTTAAAATGTTTTCAACTTTTTATGTAGACATGTTATTCACCTATTACAAGCAAATTTATGCCATATAAATGTTTTATTAACCCATTGCTGCCAGAGAGGGCATGTTCGCATATGCCATGCTCATTGTATTTACGCATAAATGGTTTCATAAGTCCTTAGTCATCAAGACATCAATTACTAGTAATACTATTTACCCTTTTCCTTGATTTCTGGAAATATTCAATATTAGTTCATACTACTCTTAGTATTACTAATTACATTATAAGATTTATATTGTCAGAGATAATGATAACAACTTCAATATTAATGACATGAGAAAAAAAAAAAATTTCCCCCCCCCAAAATAAGGAAAATGGAAATTGAGGTAGGTCAACATAGGTCTATTAATTGACTCCTTGGTGGCTGTGGACTTTTTACAAAACAAAACTACAGTGGACATTGCATGTCCTGGTGGCAGAGGATCAGGCTAATATCTCAAAACCTAAATTAAAGATTTGTGTAATTCTCATTTCCATTCAGTAAAGAAATTGATAAATTACAGAGGATGCCTGCAGAATTAAGTTTTGAGCAGTTGACAGGAAAAACAACAGAAGAAGAGGTGAAAGAAGTCTTTAGAGAAGCTTTCCTCTCGGTTGAAAATGCTTTCTTGGAATCCATTGATCCGAGAATTGCAGAACGTACCCAGCTGTTGGACAAAATCCCTGATGGAATGTCACAGTTTGAAGCTGCTCAGAAATTCCCAGAAACATTTAGTCGACTTCAGGTAAGAATAGATTTCGATAGAATTTCATGTGAGTTGGTTTCATCTCCATATTCTAGGTATTTGATTTTGTATTCTAGATTATTTTGTATGAACTGGTAGAGAAAAAAAGAGGCACTATTATAAGATTATGCAAAGAAATATCTATTTTTCTTTTCTTTTCTTTTTTTAAGGCATTG